AAACTTCCAAGTAGAATAGGCCAATTTTAGCTCAATTAGTGCGGTTAAGGGAACAAATTCCGGTAGGTCTTAGTTGAGACTTCGAGAATTCTCGGTTTTAGTACTCGAACGATGCGGACTAAGGAGATTTAAGATAAGTCAACCGGTGAAATGTGTAGTCGAGACATCAAATGGATACTTGGGCAGATGCCGGATTCTCAATGAAATGACAACAAATATTTGCAATGTACAGTCTCAATGGCGTCTGCAGCGATCACAATTTCCAGATTCCATTTCACCGGTCGGTAGACTTTTACAGACAGCGAATTCCCTTGACGATAGAATTCAACTAAACAGAAGCATGAAGGCAAGCAAATGTGCGTAAGAATCTCTGGATGAAACTGATCGTAAAGAATTGGGGGCTACGACGGTTGTAAAAGTCCTTCAATTCGGGTTTTCGTTATCTGAAGTCAACAAGACAACAAGAAATATAAAACGGGATGGTTAAAGAGAGCTGGCTCGGATCTGCACAGCTTGGCTCGACTCAGTTCAAGTGGGATCAAAGTGAATTCGAAAAAGTGGATTCGAAACGACACGATTAGGATTGAATTGGATAGACTCGAATTGGATCGGATCGGATCGGATCGGTCGATGTTGATAATATCAGAGCGGATCAGATCGTATCAAGTCAATTCGGAATTAATATAATAAAGACTACTTGGATTGGAACGATTCGGATTGGATCGGATTCTATGGGATTCTATCTTTCGACTAACATTGGATAGAAACAAATCATGTCGATTTGGATTGAACGGCCTAATAATTGCCTTTTGTACAGATCAACTGAGACAATAGAACAATACAGTTGTGTGTATGTGTGAATGTGTGGTGATGTGCGTGTATATCGCCGGGCAGTGCTGGGTTTGGGCTAGAGGCTGTAGCAAAAAAAGTCCACTCACGATCTTGTTGGTAGGGGCCTTCAAATGGTACCATTTTTAACTTGATACAACGTCGTGACACAAGCATCAGAACTGGATGCCCGAAGAGATTCTAGAAAAAATGATATCTTCGACTTAGATCTGGACAGCTCAGTTGGGACGGAATCAGGATGGATGGGATCCAACAGTTG